GTAGTCCACAGCCTCTTGCTCATCTGTTCCTACTACCTAATTAACCTCTCCCCAAAATAGATCCTTCCCATCTCTAAAGGGTTGTTCATGCAAAAATCAGAACCCAGCCATTCTGTCATCAACCAAGGCAAGAGAAGCAAGGACTGGCCCTGATTGCAGCAAAATTTCAACTCGATAAACGGAAGAGACAATAAAAGCACATTAGGACGTAGGTATCTATACAGTGGTTCTTCCCCACCCATTAGCATTGCCACCAGCAGTGGTGACTTGTGATATGGCTTCCAGATGATGAATTCGTTACAGTGAAGGTTTATCCAACAAGTGCTCTTTAACTTCTTGACCTGGGGCTCATGGAAGGGGTCTTCAGTTGGCTCTCAGAGGGTCCGTGAACTCCCTGAAATGGAATGCAAGATTCTGTATGATCATTTCCCAAGAGAGGTTACCAGGCTTTTGTCAAATGCCCAGCGGGAACCCTTGATGTGAGAAAGTTCCAGAACCACTGCTCTGTCCCTGCTCAGCTCATGGAAGTCATTTCTGTGACCAAACTCTCCCCGTACAATAGAGGGAGTAAGGGCTGAGCTGAATTCCTTTAGAGTTCTTTGATTTTACCATAAAAAAAACAATTACACTTCAATTTACTTCTTTCTCATCTCACTTTTTTAAAGAAACCGAGATAAAGAGTTGAAAATATCCACAGTATGGTAACCTGTTATCCATCTGGGGCTTGACAAAGAAAGGGGTGGGTATGAAAATGTGTGTGTGATGCCTCCCACATCATTAGGCCCAGAATAACAGGCCTCTCCACTGTAACTCACTGCAAGTAAACGTAATTTTACTAATCCTCTGCTGGCATGAGCATGTGGAACTGAGAAAGGGATTTCTAGAACTTGACCCCAAACAAGATTAATTACAACAAAACCTTTGGACAGTGATCTGAGGGGCACAGTGTGTACAGTAATTACGAAATATGGTCCTTAGATGAATAAAAAACATGTCCTACTGTACAAAAGGCTTTCATAAACATTTGTTTTACATGATCTTGGAGGGATTGGAGACTCCAAGAGGTTGTGTCTTGCCTTGTTAATTCCTGTTAAAGTTACAAAGCCAGTAAGTAGCAGGCTGGGTCTTAAATGGACATCCACTCAACTGCGATTTAGTCCAGAATTCTGCTGTGACACAGTGCTGTCAAGACTGGGCTTTGAATGTTTTTTCCAGTAACGGTGACATCTTTGCATTGAGTCACCTTCCCCTTCCTCCCTGTGAGCAAGAGGTACATGTAAGGAGGCAGGGGAGAGGCTGTGTAATGGAGTCCTTTTTCTATGTGCTGAGCCAGCTAATCTGTATCAAGGCCAAACTTGGAACTTAGAACCTGTAACCAAATGAGTTTCAATGAAAAGCAGAAACTGGTTCATTTCTAGGTTTTGGCAAAATTATTGAAACATGCTCCTTGAAGGTCTAGGTGAACAAATGTTACAGATGTGCCCCATCTTGGATAATTTTAAGAATGTATTGGACATTTTCTCTCACAGGAAGGTAGGGAGTGAACTGAATGAGCGCTGATGAGCCCCTGCAGCCCGAGGGCCCCATTTGCTGCATTATGTGTGACCAATACTGAAGGCAGCAAGAATTTCTTTTGAATAACTTTTTTGAGGTTATTTCCATGATTACTGAGGTGTTCCTTTGATGGCAGTTAGATAATGCTAAAGTGAAAAGACCATTTTGGTCATCTAATTTAGCCCTCTCCTTCCAGGAGAGATAATCTTAAACTTTCAACCACATTCCTATCTATTTTATTTTTAAATACAGGCATGCCTTGGAGATGTAGGTTTGGTTCCAGACCACCACAATAAAGCGATTATTTCAATAAAATGAATTGTAATCTTGCTGGTGGAGGGTCTTGCCTTCAGTTTCTAAAAAATGCAACATCTGTGAAGAGCAATAAAACTTAAGGGTGCCTATAATTCTATGAAATAGAAGACATACACATGGCCAATAGACATGAAAAGATGCTCAACATCAGGGAAATGCAAATCAAACCACAATGAGATAACTCCTCACACCTGTCAGAATAGCTGTTGCCAGGAAGTCAACAAATAACATGTTGGCGAGGGTGTGGAGAAAAGGGAAGCCTCATGCACTGTTGGTGGGACTGCAGACTGGTGCAGCTACTATGGAAAACAGTATGGAGGGTCCTCAGAAAACTAAAAGTAGAACTGCCACATGGCCCAGCAATTCCACTTCTGGGTATTTATCCAAAGAAAACAAAAACTAATTTGAAAAGGTATACACACGCCTACGTTTGTTGCAGCATAATTACAATAGCCAAGATACGAAAGCAACCTAGGTGTCTACCAATAGACACCTGGGTAAAGTTATTATATATAATGAAGTATTAGCCATAAAAAGAATAAAACCTGAGAGAGAGAAACAAGCTGGCGGCGCAGGTAACAGCTGCACCCACCACCTTCCCCAACCACATCAAAATTACAACTAAAACACAGAACCACCGTCACTCAGAGCCTCCTGAGATCTGGCTGAACAGGAGCCCCACAACCAGGGAGCTGAGGAAGCACCGAGACCGGGAGGAGCGGCGCAGACACGGGCGGATCAGGGCTGAATCGAGAAAACAGGCCGCGGGCCCACCCCCGGTGCCTCGGGTTAAGCCCGGGAGGGAATCTCAGCGGCAGAGTTTTCCCGGAGGAGGGAGGGGTCCCAGCCCCACAGCAGGCCCCAGCCCAGGGCTCCAGGTCGGGAAGAGATGTCCCCACACTCTGGGTTGTGAAACCAGCGGGGACTGTCGCTGAGGGTCGCGGAGGCTGCGGGAGCCCCAGCAGCTCCTCTAAAGGGCCCGGCACGGACTCACTCGGACGCTCCCTCTGAGCCCAGCGCCGGGCAGCAGCCGGAA